CATATCCCCTCCTACGAGGAATATAATCCCCTTGTCATACTTTCTACTTCTGCAAGTTTGAAGATCCAAGGGTTTTTCCTTTTTTAACAGATTCTAATCTACACAGTGTTTATTTTGATGCCATTGTAACAAAGACTCAAAATCATTATTTTCTCTAAGCATGGAGTTGATTATACCAAGCCTATTTATGGATTAATTCATTTTTTCTCATGCTAACTTAAAAAATCACCTTTATCATAAAGGGAATTCTTGTATAAATGTAAAATTATTCCTGGACCCTCATTCTGTTTCTTTTATCTTTTAATCAACAATGCAGTGACTTCAACACAGAATGAATATACTTTATGTTCAAGCTTTCTGCAGTGTTGAGTCATTTTTATATTTTGTTTTATTACAAATAACTGACACCTTCACTTTTGAATTAGCTAAAATAAAGAAATTCATCTATACTTGTGTACTACAAGAACTCTATAGCTATTATTTTGTATCCAGTCAAGCTAAAGCAGTCTAATCAATAACACTCTATTTACTGATGACATAATATTAGCCTGCTAAATTATGAAAATGAAGAGGCCTACTTTTTTGAAGAGGAACCAGAGAATAAAGAGGCTTATTTCTTGAAGTATGTTTCTGTCTACTTGTCAATGTCAATAAAATGAAATATGTTGCTTCAAAAACAATAGAAATAATATGAAGTTTACTTGGTTTTGTTCTTAAGTGAGCAGTCTAGTTGCTTCTGACCTTATTAAATTTTGGCCTGATTCCTCCTTCTATGCTTTCTTCATTTTCTAGATCAATTCTCATTTACAGTTACACTTTTTTTAAAGTAACATGTAAGGGTGCAGGATGAAAGCAATGGGATTGCGGTGAATGTCATCTACGGCAAATTTTGAAACATACTTTTGTGCTAGCCTAATGAAGCCATTATGGCTTTTAACTGTTTCGTGGGTAACACTGTGCATGGTCTGGCATCTGGTTGAGAATCCTGTCTTGGTTTTTCAAATGGAAGCAATTAATTCAATCAGTGGCAGATATTTTCTCTAGGAATTATACTAACCAAAATGGAATGGAAATAAGTGAAGAATTTTTTCTGGGAATTCTTGTATTTCTTTTGCTAACCGACCAAAACAAGCATTAACATAGAAAAGAAGCTATAACTTTCTAAGGGGTATAGACTAAGGTTTTTTTTTGATATGTTTATTTTCCTGAATATATATTCTATATATTTTTCCTAAGTATACATTCTATAGCAGAAAATATTGTAAATATGTTGTCCTTTTGACATTTAAATATATAATTTACTTGGATATTTCCTAAAATACACGATCAGGCATTTATATTATATATTGTAAACATTATATCATCTCTCTGACTTTATTGTAGATTTCTTCTCAAATTAGGTAGATGAAATATAATTTATTTGATTTAGTACTGGGGATTGCATCCAGCAAGCTCTGAGTAATCCCAGAAGGGTCTCAATCAGTTACCCAGGCTGGCAACCTTCCTGCCTCAGCCCCTTAAGGAGCTGGACTACAGGCGTGCATCACTGCACCCAGAGGAAATCATCTCTGATTCTTTAATCATTTGGAAAAGATTTCCTATAGATGCTGCAGGCTGTCCTCTTGATCCCAATACAGATGTCTACCATTAAAAAGACCTTCCTTTCCCTCAGCAATCAAGTTTCTGGTGGCTTAGTGGTTCTCCATTACATTGCTACGGTTTGAATCTGAAGTATCCCCCAAAGGTCCTGTGCTGAGGGCTTGGTTTGCATTCCATGACTTTATTGGAAGATGGTAGAATATTTGAGAGGTGGCATCTAGGCAAGAAAGAATTTGGAGATATTTGTTTCCCAGCCATTCTGAGGTTCTTGGACCACATGTTTCTGCCATGCTGTCCTGTGTTGCCACAACCAAAATAACAGGCCAGTGACCATGGACTGGAACTCTGAACTGTGAGCACTTTGTCAGGCAATAGAAAGCTGAATAATACATGCAACATCATCAGTAGAGGTAGAACTTCCCTGATAATAATTTCTGTTAGAGCACCTATTCCTGTCAGCACCTCATTTATGATTTTGTTCGTTTATGTTAAGTACAAGCTCATTTAACAAATAGAACCAATATAGACTCAGCTGTCAGTTGAGGGGATACAGATTGTGTGGTACTCAGAGTTTGTATAGGATTTACTAATGGAGATATTTCAGTTTTTAAAATATTTCATAAAGAATCTCTTAATTCAGTTGTGCAGCTATTTCTTAAATAACTAAAATGAACTGATGATATAGTACAATACTGAAATAACCACATCATGTTATTTAAGAATAGCAATGCCATTTTCAGATTTATTCTCAATGAAAATTCATTATATGATTTCTTCGATCTTCCTTAATGAAATTCTTCAATATTTGCAAAAAATTTAAAATTAACATGTTCTTTTGTTAATTTTTTTTTTTGTACAGGGTACCAAACTGGGGCCCTTGTGTTTGCCAGGCAGGCAGCAGAATTACTGAATTAAATCGCCAGACCTAATCATACTTTTTTTTGTTTTTTTTTTTGGTACCAGGGATCGAACTCAGGTCCTTGTGTTTGCAAGACAGGCGGCAGAACCACTGAGCTAAATCCCCAGACCCAAATCATACTTTTTAATGGTAAATCTACTCATGCTTCATCTCCTCCTTAAAATTCTTTCATGGCTCTCATCGACTTTTATTAACATGTTCTTTTGTTAATTTTTTTTTTTGTACAGGGTACCAAACTGGGGCCCTTGTGTTTGCCAGGCAGGCAGCAGAATTACTGAATTAAATCGCCAGACCTAATCATACTTTTTTTTGTTTTTTTTTTTGGTACCAGGGATCGAACTCAGGTCCTTGTGTTTGCAAGACAGGCGGCAGAACCACTGAGCTAAATCCCCAGACCCAAATCATACTTTTTAATGGTAAATCTACTCATGCTTCATCTCCTCCTTAAAATTCTTTCATGGCTCTCATCGACTTTAGGCTGCAGTAAAAATGAACTCATTAGCATGTATTCTTCATGACATCACTGTCCTATAATATCTTTTCACACTTTTCACACCTCCTGTCCTATAATACTCCAACCCAGTGGATGAGGTCTGGAATACCTACCTGACCTGCGTTTGACTCAAGTGTTCGTGAGCATCGTGGTCTATATTCAGAATGAAAATCTCCGTATCCAGAGGCCTTTGGTCCTGCTCATCTCTAATTGTGCTGCAAGGGTTATGCCAGCGATTTCCCCTGAGAAACCCTTCTTGGGTGCTGTATACGAGGCCGAGCAGGCTCACGGGGCTTGGCCCACTTGAACCACGTGCTTTAACAGTACCTGATGTTTCCCTCCTGCTCTGTAACACTTAACGGTACAGTCCATTTCTTACTAATGTTTATATTACAATTTCTTGTATAATGTTAGAGCCATATTAGATATTCAAAAACCATTTTCATTAAAAGAAAAGTAAATTTAAACTAGCTATATGGTATTGCTTTAATTTCAATTAGTAATTTTCTTACAATAAAAATGCTGTTTTTGATGTATTATTTTAATCAATTTTTTCTACCTTTATACATTTTATAACTAGACCTTGCGCACTATCAATTTATGAAGGAAAAACTAGGAAACTGAGGTGAATTCATTGGAACTAATAATATGTAATAAATAATAAAATGAAAAATAACTAATAAAATGTAATACTTAGCAGTGCCCTTTGGTCTTGATTCTCAATGTAGAGCTGCCTGAAAGCTCCCAACAGTACCCACGTCACAGCCTAAACATTGGTCTGCCCATAAAGTCTCAGGATACGATCAAAATGGAGGCAAATTTCCTAATAGAACATAACACACATTGTTCTTAGTTCAACTGACAATGGAGTTATTGCTCCCTTCTGACATATCCTGGGCCTCTTGGCTTTCACTTTCTGAATACCAATCAGCGTTCTGGTCTTCTGAGCTCTGACTAAATTTTTTCAACAAGCTCAGCTAACAGCATTCTTGGGCTTCTCTCTCCAGAATTCACAAACACTTCCTGTGAACCAGTTCCACGTGGTCGTATATAGCCAAGATTAGGACCACCTATCTGAGTTTTCAGGAGAACTTGAACATTACCTCTCAACTGCAAAGGTCCCCCAGAGTGGGAAGAATTGGATCCAAGAACTGACTTTTTTCAATAAGTCAAGTGAATCAGCTTTGCTGGGACAGTATCAACTGTCTGAGGTCACAAATAATGGTGGCCTAGGAAGTATGCATGAGACAATATCAAATCTCCACATCTTCTGAATTCAAGTCAAGGTGGAATATCCTGAGATTGCCACAAAAGACTGAAAAACTGTCTTTTATTTCCAACACACTAGTTCTTTGAAGCTGATTTTCCACAGTGACAGCATCCAAAACGAGATCGCAGAATAGCCTGGACACAGGCAACACACTTCAGGTGTCACTATCTGCCGTGACCCCCATGTGGAGAGGTGCATAATTATTTCACCCTAGATTCCAATACTGATATAAGCAAAGGGCCCAACAAATATAACATATGTGAATCATCACATCCCACCTGGCCTATGGAAAATTGTTTTCTGGGAAAGCAGTCCTCGGTACCAAAAATTGTTGGGAAGTGACGCATTTAGATGGGTTAAATTAAAAGGAGGGCATTAAGCTTGGGTCCTCGATCAGGGCAGTTAAGAAGAAAAGGAGATTGTGGGGGTTGAGCACACAGAGACAGGCATGCAAAAGGGCAGTAGGAAGAGAGAGTAGGAGGAAAGCTAGATGTAGACAGAGGAGAGGGGCTCAGAGGCAGCCAATCCTGTCAACGCCTTGCTCTTCCCTTGACCCCCAAATTCTAGAACTCTGAGAAAATGAATTTCTCTTGTTTAAACCATCTGGACTCTGAATTATGTCACAGCAGCTGTGGCACAGTAATAATACAGTGTGGACCTCGGGTCAGTGCTTTTCAATTCATAAATAGATACCCTACCATTCTTCCTCGGAGACCTAACAAAGTTACTCACGTCAAAGGCGGAAAGGAAGTATTAACAGCTTGAGAGGCCTAAATGGACCCAGAGGTGCAAAGTCAGAATGCTCTTAAACACTCCTTTATTTTTTTAAATTCAAAATTAATTGTAGGTCACTTATTTTTGTCAGTTTATCCCTATCTTCTGAGCATACCATAGCTCAGTCTAAGAAAATACCCAAGAGGTTCATTTAAAAAGAGAGTACTGACTTACCATCATGTGGCAAGAGCAGTGCCAAATGCAAAAATTATAACAAAGTCTAAATTATAACGTCTCCTAGAGATACCACACTTCAGTGGAAGAGATAAACAAGAAAGCAAACAAGCAGGACAGTTGCAGACGGTGAGAAGGATTAGGAAGAGACCAAGCAGCACAATGAAACGGAAAATGACATAGGATACTGATTTAGGCCAGGTAGCAGGAAATGCTCAGAAAATCTTCCAAGTAAAGGTAAAAAGTAAGACTCTGGCTGTCAGAAAAACTGATAGAAGAAGATTTCTCATAAAATTCACAACTGGAAAGATTGACAGGAGAAGACAAGAAGAAGTTTGGAAAGATCTACGAGGGTGATATACTGTTTTGGGATCCTTGAAAGGTCTGCAAGCTGACATGCATAAGTGGGGGCAGACCAAGTTCTTATTTTCAGATTTGGGGAAGCCTAGTGTACCTCTGTCCAGAAGTCCTCTACCCAGGCTCATGAGGTCTTAGGTGGGGCATTTCCAGAGGTGGCTGCATCTTGAGTGTGTGACTGATTGAAGGTATAAGGCTAGGCGCAGGCCTATGGGTACCAGGATTGAAGGTATGAATGCTACCCACACTAAGTAGCTTGACTAAGATAAAAAGGAAGACTTCTCTGTTTCTTTTGCTGCCTTCACAGCCATGAACTCTTCCCACTCTGCCATGTGCCACCCTGCCTTGGAGCCTGCTGATTATGGACTCAAACCTCCGCATACTGTGAGCTAAATAAGCCTTTTGCCTTTTAACTTTGGGTGTCCGGTACTTTGTCTCAGCAATGAGAGAGAAAAGTAACTAAGATGCCCTATTGCATGGAATGCTCCTTCGAGAGCAAGGGTAAATTGAAGGTACCAGGGAGCTAGAGAACAGATGCCTCATAGTTTCTAAGTAATCAGGAACTGGTAAGATTGAAAGTACAGAGCTAGAGTCTGATCTTGGAAGGGAAAAGAAAGAGAATAAATGTCTTAATTGAGTAGAAATAGACAAGGAAAGTTGGTAAGATGAGGGTTATTGAACTGACGTCACAGGATTTGTATTTGTATGGCTTCTGTTTTCTCACGTGTTGAGACTGAGTAGGAAGAGGGACTTTGGAGGTCTGCAGTGAGCAAAAATGGACCACGGAAAACATGAGTGAATGTGGTAAGATTTCTGGGCCTACAAAAGGCTCGTCTACTACAAATGCCATTTGAATTATTATGTAAAGTAATCAATTCCTTGACACAATTTTGTAGTAAAGAAGAATTTGATTTTGATCAGGACTGGAATTTTGCCAAAGCAATGCAGCAGGAGAACGATGGGTTAGAGAGGATTCTTTGAATTGCCAAAGCACAGTTAATATTGAACTGAACTGAAACAAAACAGAACAAAATGCACACGATAAAGCCAGGTCCCTGTTGCTGCTCTTTTCAGCTTTGTACAGCACTGTACTTGGTCCTGCCATTCCCATCCCGTGACTTCCTGTGCAGCCAGTCGTCACTGTACCAGGGAAGCTGTCTCACGGCTCTCCCAGACAGTCTTCGTCCTCCTCCAGCTCCCAAGCCTCTGCCTACGTTCTAGCCTGTGTCATCCTCTGAAGACTTTCGCCACCTCTTCAACATTCTGGCTCCTTGTGCTGTGGCTCCTGCCACCATCGCCAAACGCCGTTCAAGTGACCCATCCTACAAAAACAAACCGTTATCTCCTCTGAAGATCTTTCCTTCACTGCTTTATTACAACCTATAAAATAAACCACTATAAATGAGAACCCGCATGGTATGGGCCCTGACAATTCATTCCTTCACCTTCATTTTCTGTCACTCTTTATTCCTATCATTAATTCTCTATGTGCCAGCAAAACACTTTTTAGAGAAATACTGATTGGTTTACAATCTTCACACATGTTTTACTACTTATTAGAGGCTCCTTTTCTCTCTTGGTAAATCCGGCACACTCGTTTTACACTATCCAGCTCAAATATTATCTCAGTGAGAAGTGACAGTCCTTCCCTCTCTGCCCTAAGTTAATCAGTGACACATTCCTCAGGCTCTGGAAGTCATGAATACTTCCCATGTGGGTCTTACGTTGTAACTATGATGATTAAAAGTTAGCTGCATTGCTTAGTACTCCCCGACTAGACAGTGAGGTGGTTAAGAAAAGGTACAGCACTGTGCCTGATTCACCTCAGGATAATAGATGGTCATGACCTCTGTGGGTATGGGTCAAGCACCACCACCTCCTCTGTCTCCTGGTAGTGGAATCACTATTTTCTGTAATTAAGGCTTAAGTCATGAAATCCCCCCCGCACTTCGTCATGAGCCGAGCTCTCCTTTACTCACTGCTAAGAGTACCGCCCTCTATTCATGTTGGTGAATTATTTAGGACATCAGATTTACCACTTGGTGGAAGTTAGTTGTGTTTCTTTCTTTCTAGTTGATTACCACTTATTATACCATCTGTATTCATGATTAGGCTAAATATGGACCCCACTCATTTTATTTGCAATTGTTTTATATCTATATTTCCATCAGAACTATAAAGTGATTTAGAAAAAGCATATTGTTTTATATTTTCTCATATAACTTATTTATCTTTAAGTAGTCATTTTTTTTTTCTCCAGAATATCCGCAGGGCTGGGTCATTTCTATTTCCTTCTATGTCCAGCATTTAACCTAGTCCTTCACCTTTGCTCTGATTTGTTAGAAGATTGGCTAATTTAATGTGATTTGTTAGAATGGCTTTCTATCACTGGTCTCTTATTTTACCTCATATTCTACTCACATATTAGTGGAAAATGTTGTTTTCACCATCCCATTAACATACCTAGTCTTATACTTTTTTTCTATAGAGGAGCATTTTCTAAATTATAGCTTTTGGACTCCTAGTTTATGGGATATTTATATGTGCAACTAAAAATAGTTCCTTAGTCAAACACATTTTCAAGACCCTGGGTAACTTGGTCTGTCTGAGTTGCTGTGAAAATACCATATACTGAGTGGCTTAAACAATAAATTTTTATTTCTTACAGTGGTGGAAGCTAGGAGCTACATGATGAAGATATGGGGCCCTTCCTAGTTCATAGCCTCAGTCTTCTTGGTGTGTTCTGACGTGGAAGACAGAGAGCTCTCAGGGGTTCCCTTCACAAGAGCACTGCCGCCCATCCCCGTGCATTAGGATCCACCCACCAGGCCTAACTACCACCCTATTTTGTGCTACCATCTTCTTGGGGATTAGGCTTTCAACATACGAGATGTAGGAGACAAAAATATTCAACCCATTGCACTGGGTGAAACAGTTTTGACAGGTTTCTGTCTTATGACATGAAAATCAATGAGCCAAAATATTTTCTAAGTCTTATGAAGAAAATATGATAGACATTTCACTCTCTGAGGCATCCACACACCCAACGGTGAATAGAACATATTTCAGGAAATGCTGATTGAATTTAATCTTAATATTTTACTCTGCTCCCCAACTAATGTTTTCTTGGCTCTTCTGGCACCTCCGCCAAAGCAAGCCTCAGAACTGGAGCTTTAGCTCTGCCCTTGCTTCATCTGCTGATGCTGCTACCTTAAGGCCAACATTCTCCTTCTGCACCAGTACTGCATGTGAGTTCTGTCCAAAAAGCTTATAGCATCAGGTTAGAGAACCAAGCAAATGAACACATGCCTGTGATTCTAGCTCCTCAGAAGGTTGAAGTAGGAAGAGTAGTGGAAGTGAGACCCTATCTAAAAACAAAATCTAATGGAAAAAGTCAGAAGGATCACAAGTTCAAGCCCAGCCTAGGCAATTTAGTGAGACATTGTCTTAAGGTAAAATATGGGCTGGGATGCTGCTCAGTGCAAAGGTCTAGGGCCCAATCCCTAGCATTGAAAAATACATAAATAATTTTAGTGACTACAGTCTCCTTTAAAAGTCCCAGCAAGCTTAGGTAGTTATTCACGAGGGTATGACAAGAGCAAGCTTGGTTTACCTAATCTTAAAGTCTTAGTTTAAAACACTAACATTTTCGGACACACCATGATTACACCGCCAGCTGATTTTTAAAATATTGACAGGATTGCTCATTCCTTAAGCAACCACTATTGTGCTCATTCTTTTTGAGCTCTTCTCACGCCACGTATATAAATTACACATGTGAGTTTGCTGATGGAGTAATAGGAAGCAACTGCAACAATGACAGATTTGGTTAGAGCTTTCAGCTGGCCTATCATGATGTTAGAAAACCTGGAGGAAGAAATCATAATATGATAATATTTTTCTAGTATTAATTGTGTAGTTGGGTCTTGAAAGCAGGAGACAATATCAGTAAAAATCAAGATTGACGGTGGTGACTCGTCTTACAAGATAGATTTCAGGCGTGCCTGTTCTACTGAATCTCCATGTCCGCTGTGGAGCGCAGAGCAAGAGGCTGTGCTCTCAGGAACGCCTGAGACTTGGGATCCCTGCTGGTGGGAGACAGCACGACCCCTTCCTGTGCTGAAGGCGTCTCTCAGCTTGCTGGAAGAGGTAACCATCACATTGCTCCATGTGCTCAGAGCTGCTTTTGGAAGTGATTCTGTCTGACTGGGAGATTGGTGGGCTTGACTCACCAGTCATCTGCTCCTGCCACGATAACTCTCAGCATCGCTTCAGAAATGCACGACATAAGCTGTCAGTGCTCACTAGCAAAGAACACACCACTCCCAGGAACGGATCTGAGAATGACAGTCACTTAGTGATATCTATCTGGATGCAAACAGTTTTGGGTATCACCTAGGATTTTGATATAATTAACATTGTATTAACCTTCACAACACTGAACAAGCAATGTGTTGTTTCTCAGGCATATTCTTGAAGCACAGTATAATGTGTTTACACAGGAGGTTATTTTTTTCGTCTCTTTTTTGCTAAGGACTTCGGACATACATCAGACTTATCTAAACGCTATACCATATCACGTGGGCGCTACTGCAGTGAAAACTCTGACAAAGTGTTGAAATTTCTACTTGTAACTGGGATGAAACCCAGGGCCTTGCTTGCCTGGGGCTGAGCCTGAAGATGGCCCTTTGACTAATCCCTACTCCCTTTCTCCTCCATAGATTAGCCTCCACAGACTGTGTCTGTCTGAGTAATATTGCAGACCCTGGATGGCAGGACTTGGGAGACAGTTCCATTGAATCCTTCCCTGTTCCCTTCCTGCACATGCCCCGACCAGTGGATAATCATGCTGCCACATAGGCCACGTGGCACTATTTGCCCCGCCTTCTCTTCCTGTTTCCTTCCACTATAGTGTGTTGGATTCCACGTGGCCCTTCGCTCTTCAGACTGGTTCCACCTGGTCCCAGCATTCAAGCATAATTTCGGTTTGCATCCTTCTTTGTTATTTTTCAATTTTCTTCATCTCCCACTGCTCTCCCTGGCAGCCCCCACCTGTGTGGGTCGAGGCACTTTCTCATGTTAGACAAGAGTGTACCACCGAGCTGCACCCCAGCCCTGCAGCCCCGGAATGTACTTGAAATCCATGACCTCCAGCCACAGGTAAGCACCAGGGCAGATGAGCAGTTGTTAAGGTGAGGGCTTGCTTGCTCCAAACTGTTTCCTGAGTTCAGTGAGACAGAGTACACAGTGCAAATTCACACTTACGATCTGGGTCATACTTCATATTCCTTGACCTGACCAGACCATCACAATTAATTCAGGGTTCGGGTTGGATTTTTTTGTTTTTGTTGTTACTTTCATGTCTTACTTTTCTCTTGTTGCTAAGACAAAATACCCGGCACCCAAAGTTAAAGGAGGAAAGATTTACTTGGCTTACAGTTCATAGTTTTCAGACCATAAACAACTGGTTCCAAAGCAGAGTGGCGTGGCAGTGAGGAAACAGTTTATAGCAGTCAGAAGGTAGCAAAGCAACAAGGGATCTTAGCAGTGTGTTCCTGCCCTGTCGCGAGTCTGTGACGCAGAGCACCATCCAGCAGTGCCTCAAACCTGAAAGAGCAGCGGGGTGGAGATGGGGCAGAGAGAAAGGAAGGACACCAAGGCAAGAGTCTGATCAAGGCGATGTTTATTGCAGGCAAGCATCAGCCTTTTAAAGGAAAAGACCGAACTATTATGGGCTAGGATTACCATAGTAACCTCAACACCCGCTCCATGGGAACGAGGGTTCACACGGGAAAGAGAAAGCAGGCTCAGGAAAAACAAATTAACAACACTTGCAACTAATAATCATGATTCCCACAATAGGTGGAGGAACTTAACAAAATGGAGTTACAACACCTGACTCCTAAAGATAACGTCAGATCTTTAACAGGAAGCACCTGACTCCTACAGATCTTTGGCTGTCCGAGTTTCTCCCGTGCAGGGTCAAAAACAAGTTTAACACGTGCAGTCCTTAAAAAGGAACAAATGTTAACAAATGCTAATTAGGAACATCCTGACCACACATTGTGTCAATGCCTTGATTATAAAGAAAGAAGTTATCTTTCAAAAAGCCAGAGGGCCATGGCTGGCTTCCCACACTGCCCCTTTTATTTTATCCAAACTACTTAGGATGGGGAATCCCTTGGGCCTAGCCTTGCTTCCTGAATCGATCACATGCTCTAGATCCCGCCACTTCTGAAAAAGTATGAGGCTTTGGGGATGTCCAGACACAGCCCCTTGATTATAAAGAAAGAAGTTATCTTTCAAAAAGCCAGAGGGCCATGGCTGGCTTCCCACACTGCCCCTTTTATTTTATCCAAAC